AGCTGCTCGGCAGAAGCCTCCACCATCATCCAAGCCCAAGTCTCTTCGGATCGGCTCGTGGAACGTTAGGACCCTTTATGAGGCTGGAAAAACTGCACAAGTTCTCCAAGAAATGCACCGATACCAACTACACATACTGGGAATCAACGACACCCACTTGAACCAGTCTGGACAGAAGCGAATGAAAGAGGGGGAGCTCTTCGTTTATTCAGGAAATGACAGTGATGGACCACACAGGGAAGGAGTAGGGATGATCATATCAAAAACAGCTCAAAAGACATTCAGGGGCTGGGAAGCACATGGCCCAAGGATCATCATGGCCTCATTTGAAACTAAGAAAGAACTCAAGGTAAGAGATGGTAGGAAGAAGGTCATTAACATGAACATCATACAAGTGTATGCTCCAACCAATGATGCAGAAGTGGAGAATAAAGATAACTTCTACAACCGCCTGCAGAACGTCATCGACAAACTTCCAGGTAAGGACATCAACATTGTCATGGGAGATCTAAATGCAAAGGTAGGTTCGGACAATAGTCACAATGAGGAAATCATGGGCAGACACGGATTAGGAGAGGCAAACGACAATGGAGAAAGGTTCCAAAACTTCTGTACATTCAACAACTTGGTCATTGGAGGTACAATCTTCCCACAGAAGGATTCACAAGGCCACTTGGGTCTCCCCGGTCGGAACAACGGAAAACCAGATTGACCACTTTTGCATCTCCCGAAAGTTTAGACGCTCACTGGAGGACGTCCGAGTCTTACGAGGAGCAGACGTCGCATCAGACCACCATTTGATCCTTGGAAAGCTGAAACTAAAACTGAGAAGATATGCACAAGTCACCGCTGGAAATCGTCTAAAGTATGAAGTGAGCCTTCTGAAAGACCCAGTAAAGAAGAATGAGTTCAAGTTGGAACTGAAGAACAGATTTCAAGCCCTTCAAGATCTGGATGAATGTGAAGTCAACGAACACTGGGGTAAGTTAAGAGAAGCAGTAAATGCAACTTGCCAGAGCACCTTAGGACCCAAAGACAACACCAGGAATTAATGGATTTCACAGGACTCTCTAGACAAGGTCAAAAGAAGAAGAGAACTGAAGACCCAAGTCAACAACAGCCGTACCCGAACTGAGAAACTCGCTGCACAACAAGAGTACACTGAGGTAAACCGGGAGGTAAAGAATTCCACCAAGAAGGACAAGAATACCTACATGAATGGCCTGGCCGAAAAGGCAGAGAAAGCAGCAACAGACGGGCACTTGAGGATTGTACTCCAGACTACAAGAACTCTTTCAGGTAGGTTCAGCAAGCCCACTCTACCAGTGAAAGACAAAGAAGGAAAGACTATCTTCAACCCAGAGGGGCAACTTAACCGATGGAGAGAACACTTTGATCAACTACTGAACAGACCACCTCCAGAAAACCAACCAGAAATTCTTCCAGCCAGAAATGACCTCCCAATAGACACGGAACCACCTTCAAGAGAGGAAATTGCAGCCGCTATAAAAACACTGAAGTCCCACAAGGCAGCTGGTCCCGATCATATACCACCGGAAGCCCTTAAGGCAGAGAAAGATACGTTTGTGGAAATTCTATATGCTCTATTTGGAAAAGTTTGGCAAAAGGAGGAAATACCATCAGACTGGAAGGAAGGCCACCTAATCAAGCTGCCAAAGAAAGGAGACCTCAGCAACTGTAACAACTACAGAGGCATTACACTCCTTTCCATGCCGGGGAAAGTCTTCAACAGGATACTCCTGGAGAGAATCAAGCTGGCAACGGATGAGAAGCTTCGAGGAAACCAGGCAGGATTCCGCAAAAATCGATCATGTGTGGACCAGATCGCTTCTCTACGTATCATTGTTGAGCAATCGTTTGAATGGAATTCACCACTCGTGGTAATCTTCATTGACTATGAAAAGGCGTTTGACAGCGTGGACAGGAAAACTCTGTGGAAACTCATGCGGCATTTTGGAATACCTGAGAAAATCGTCAAGCTTGTGAAGGCCACCTATGATGGAACAAGCTGCCAAGTCTTCCACGAAGGGCAACTCTCAGAACCATTCCGGGTACAGACAGGAGTGCGACAAGGATGCTTGCTCTCACCTTTTCTCTTCATACTGGCAATTGACTGGGTTATGAAAGAAGCCACCAGAGGCAAACGTAATGGAATACAATGGATCTCTTGGCAGCAGCTGGACGACTTGGACTTCGCCGATGACCTTGCACTGCTCTCTCACACACATGCTCAGATGCAAGAAAAGACCAAGGAACTCAACAGCTTATCAAGGAGTGTTGGCCTACGTATACATCCAGGCAAGTCAAAAGTAGTGAAGCTAGGAAAAGTTTCAAACCTTGCTGTGACAGTGGAAGACACTCACCTTGAAGAAGTGGACTCCTTTACCTACCTTGGAAGTGTCATCGATGGTAAAGGTGGAACCGAGGCAGATGTTAAAGCAAGAACCGCCAAGGCAAGGTCAGCCTTCAAGCAATTATCAAAAGTCTGGAAAGCAAGCAACATCTCACTACGCACCAAGATTCGACTTTTTAACTCCAACGTCAAGTCTGTGCTCCTCTACGGCTGCGGAACTTGGAAGACAACGAAGACAGTACTGAATAAGGTCCAGACTTTCATCAACAGATGTATGAGGAGTATTTTAAGAATTAAGTGGCAGGAAAGAATAAGGAATAAAGAGCTGTGGGAAAGGACAGGACAAAAGGATATAGAAGTAGAAATAGGACTAAGAAAGTGGCGATGGATGGGACCCACCTTAAGAAAGCCCAGCGGAAACATCACAAGACAGTCACTGCAGTGGAACCCACAGGGAGCACGAGGCAGGGGTAGGCCACGGGAAACATGGAGGAGATGCGTGGAAAGGGACATGAGAGAAATGAAGCTCACTTGGAACGAGCTTGGAAGGATGGCTCAGGACAGAGATAAATGGAAGGAGCTTGTATGTGGCCTATACCCTGCCAGGGGTGAAAGGCATTGATGATGATGACATTTGAGATGTGCCGTCTTATTAATATTAATGTACCGCAAAACTCGCTACGAGTGTCGTCATCGCTTGGGTTATCCCCAAGAGCAATTTATAGGTCAGGTTACACTGTCGAATATCCTATTATTATTATGTTTAGCTAAAGCGCGTGGACTTTGGCTTGGCATAGTAGATGTTTTACGGCGCTATAGACACAGAAATGACAGTTATGGCGCTAGTGAGGACCTTGTTTTTGATATAATGTTTGGCTAGTATTTGTTTCAGGTTTCTTTTCTTTTATTATTTTGAGTGCTTTACATAATAGAACATAAAAAAAAAATGGGCGGCACTGCACGACCATGCTCTATGGACGAACCGCGCCTGGGGCCCATCGCACAAGTACAAGATCCAAATTGTCGAAAAGTGAATATTATTGTGATTAATCCTATCCGTACGCCCTGGGGTCTTTTTGTACCCTCGGGGTTGTATTCTTCACATTTTAGAATACTTCTAGCGCGAAGATCTCTTTGAAACTTTCAGTATTTCTTTAAAAAAAATCATTTTGACATCTATGCAAAGCGTTCGGGTCGGATTAGCGAGTAAATTTCCTCTTTGAAAAGTGGTGGCACAGAATTCCCCACTTCGTATGGATTCGATAGTACGACGTACGGAGGGCTAAAAGTGAATAACACAGGGACTATCACATCCACATGCTCCTTAATTCGAAGTCTGCTTTCTTGAGCTCTATTGCAATTTCAACTTAGGGCAATATAGCCTAGCCAACTAGCTAATTAAGCCTAATTTGAGAGCGTAGCACGCATGCATTGGCTTTCCAACATGAATGATTTCAAGGAAATGGCCCAAAAGTATTCATTTATAGCTGCTATTGCCTAATACGGGGTGCCCACTACGGCTGGATCGGGCAGATCGTCCGTTGAGGCGACCGAGTCGGGCGATCCCATCCGCATCCGTAGTGAGCACCCCGTGTAAGACCCGGAATCGGCTAGCTTCACAAAGAGGTTACAGTTGTTTTAAGCTCCTTGGCTATCCTATATATAGCTCGTATAAAAAAAGGTTACCGTTAGTTGTTGTAAGGTCCTTGTTCGTATCTTAAATAATATTGTATTAGAAATATAATAATTGTTATTGTCTTCCCATTCACCAGCCAAATGCGCACAAAAAAATAATTAAATGTAGCTTTTACTTTTAGTACAGCAAAAGATAGAGAGTTTACAGTAATACTGTAGCCAAGTAGCTTAGAACTAATCCTTGGCTGTAGCCTACATTATTACAAAAACTATTTGATGCAGCAATGCTTACTTTGTTTTGATCATAAATCTCGAAAAACTTAGAGTTATCCTGGCAATGACTGATACCCACAATGCATTCTATCACCCAGATTGGGTACAAAAGCTGTGTATTGGCGTTTATTGACGCACCACAACTTAACTAGGCTACAGAAACTGTAAAGCTTTCTAGGCCTATGCTTCCTTTTCTCAACCCTCATAACAAAAATAGCGTGAAAACTGAACATTTCTAAATTTTAAGGCTGATTCATGTATATGGTAATCCTGAAAGTCTTTAGGCTTAGTTAAACAAAGGAAGTCTTCCAATAAGTGTTTTGCACACTGAGGTCATAATTCATACGGAACAAAATATATAATTTGCATGCGTATAAATGCATTTCTAGTGTTCGGATTGTATGTTTCCTGGGTGTAATATTTGTTAAGTTTTTCCATTACGCAACAAATTTATAGCAGTAGGGTAGGCCTACTGACGTTAACATGCCCATCGGGACTAATGCTTTTGGTCTATTTCTGTGCTTACCGCACTGACAAAACAGGCCATTTATTACACGTACTTTTCAGCAGTTATTTACTAATCATAAAGATAAATGAAAGAAAATACAAGTGACACATTGTGAAAAATCAAGTTATGCATATCTTGATTTTTTAGCATGAGCAAACTTGCTGTGAGCTGTGAATTTGGTTGGGTTGTCCGTCTATTTACGACATTGCTCTATCAGAAAAATCTGGATTGCACGGTTAGAAAAAGTAGGCCAGCAGAGCGCTAGAAATTCTGTCGAATAAAGTCGCTAAATCAATTGAGAAAAATCGGCTCATATGCGAACCATCCGCCTTGTAAACTGTCTAAATTATCATCAGTTGAAGATCTGGGTTGTTGATACAACCTTATTGACCAAATTGCAATTAATACTAAGTGATTATGGATCAGTAGACTTAATGCAGCTAAAGTCACATAGTGGCTCGGACAAATAATATGTCGGGAAGGGGAATCATGGAGAAGCTATAAATAACTAGGCCTACACGTACGACGTAGTGAAATCTGTTTTGCCACGTCTCATATCAGAATGAACCATAGCCGGGTTGTTGTATACTAAAGCTGCAATCTAACTTTTCTGTCAAACGTCAATCATGCCGAAGAGTCGTAAAAGAAATGCCGATCCTTATGACGATGAATACGATGCAAGAGCATACTCCCACCTTGTTCCTCAAGGACATGGTTCGTCACAACAGTCTCATGGAAGCAGTTACAGCAATTCAAAGAAGAGAGGGAAGAAAAAGAAAAGTCACAGAAAAAGGTCGAAAGATCGGGACGACAGGCCTTCAGTACAGAAACCTCTTGTTGATTATGATGACATCAGCTCGGATTCTGACATCGTCGATTTGTCCCCGTCAGCAAACCCATCGTCGTCGAAAACGGCGTCTTCAGCCGTTGCGGGTACAAGTCGCTCCAGCAGCCACTCGCACTCAAGAAGTAGTAACAACCACTCGTCTCAGGGCCAATCTTCAGGGAAACGACCAGTGTCACCCGCAACAGCTATCAGACTCTACCGAGATCACAGAAGTCGCAGCAAGTCTCGTGGTAGAGACGACAGCCCACGATCTCGAACTCAGCAAAGCAGATCAAAGGGCAGCAAGAAACAGAAGCGATCGCGCTATCACTCGCCGGACTATAACAATGGATCTAGTCACCAGAAAGATGCCAAGTACAATCCGCCTCCGAAAAGCCACCAAGCAACTGATCAGCCGAAAGCGTATGCCGACTTGCCGAAAGCGTACAGTGCAGGCTACAGTAGTAAAGAGTTTGGTGACCGAAGGAATCGCAGTCCAAGCCCTTACTACAAAAATGACAAGAGAAAAAGAAATTCACGAAGTCCCAGCAATAGGTGAGTTTTTTAATGTTTGTCTTGGTTCTCTCGTCCTCAAACGTTTGGTGAGAAGAGCATCACTGTAGCCTTGTTTAGATTCTAGATTCTAGATTAGTTAACTTTTCTTTGCCTTTGTTTGCCTCCAAAAAAGGAACTTGAATCCAGTCAGAGACATTAGGCTAGGCCTACAGTTACTCTCATTACCTCACAGTCACAGAGCAGTCAGTGTGGGCCTAAAAGTAAAAGTGTTTATTAAGCCTATTAACATTTTTTCGTATTCGGACTCGAGTCCGAATAGTCACTTCGTTCAATATGTCCACTTTTTCTCCTTCATTTACGTCTCTAGAAGATCTAAATCTAGATCTAGATCTAGTTTATTGTCCTCTAGGTTCTATTGGTATTGGAAGTAAAATCAGTAACGAGACCAGTAGTATCACATCAAATTGTAACCTCCATTCTGGCGTCAACTAAACTATAAAATTGTACCATATAGTGCTATAGTTGGTACCCTATAGTCTGTATTAAACAATGCCAACTTAGGCCCAGTCTAAATCTATATTTCAGTTGTCTTGAAATTAAATCGTGAAATGTTATTAATGTTTTTACAAGGCACTAGATCTAGGTTCTAAGAAAGTGAATGTAAGCCAGTTCAATTACAGCTCGAGACCAGGATCCTTGTCTAACTGATCTGTTTTTTATCGGATTTAGATCGATTTTGACTAAGACTAAATGCTTGTTTGAAAGCATTAATTAGATCTCTAGTCTATCTCTAAAGTACTTTAAATTTAAAGGGAAAGGCTGATTTCAAGCTTGAACTTTGATATGCTTTCATTAAGACTTGATTGATGTTTGAGAAAAAGACAGCAGCTATTCGGACTCGAGTCTGAATAGAATATAGCCTTCCATGGTTATTCGGACTCAAAACCTCCAATGCGTTTACTGGATATGAAGTGGACAGGCAATTTGACCTTGGCCTTCCTAGGTTTCTACGGCCAAAATTTTCGACACAAATTAAGAAAAGTATTCGTTATCTAGCGACGTCAAAAGAGGATAACAGTTGCAAAAAAATCTGAAATGCTACACAACAAAGGCTAGGCAAACAGTAAACGGCAATCAGCAATCTGAGCTCAAAGCAGTGAAACAAAATTTTGAAATCAAATCAAAGTTTCAGAACAACAAAGGATTATAACTGTCAATAGGTAGTCTAAACCCACTTTGTTTGACGAGAAAGACAAAATCATTGATCAATTTAAAACCCTTCCAGAGGCCAAAGGGAACAAAATAAGTCAGTCATTCAAAGTAAGGCACATGCATTGGGATTCCGAATAGCCACAGGAGGCTTTTCAGACTTCATGAGTCCGAATAACCACTTCGTTGAGAAAAATCCTTTCAAATTTAAGGCAAGGACATCTGATTCTGATTGACCTAGGCCTAGTGCCTACTCAAAAAAATTAAATCCTGCTCTAGATCTAGATCTATATCCTTTTTTATGGCAATTTATTCAGGTAATTTTTTTTTCCAATCTTCTGTGCGCTTACTAATGTTGCCTTAGCTTAGGCCTGTGCCGTATCAAATTATTTATTAGGGGGTAAATTTGGTAATGGCACTGATCAAAGGTGATGGTGAGGACAACAGCTAACTTGATGGCCAGGCTCTGGGTGCATAAAAAGATCAAAGGATGTGGTGTGGGAGAATAAAAATCAAAGGCAGCAGTGTCACAGTGTGTGGTTGGCTGTAGGCCTTTGTTAGGTAATTTTACACTATTATAACCCCCACACCCGATACATTGCTTTCATGGACTGGGGGTGGGGGGTGGGTGCAACCATAAAAAACAAAGTGGAATCCTGATACAACAGGATGGTGAGACCAGAGAAAAAGCCCTGTTATATCAGGTCCCTGTTAAATCAGAACTGCAAGGGAAGTAAGCATTTGTGGACTAATCCAGCTATTACGCATGCGTTGAGCTAGGTTCATGGCGCTAGATCGAAGTCTGCAGCACACCGCATCCCTCTCTTGCAACACCCGCTGCGTTTGCTTGCAGTTGCTGTGGCGCGACTTGCATGGGCTTGCTCCATCACTGCGTTTCTCTTTCTCTCTCTCTCTCTCTCTCTCTCTCTCTCTCTTTCTCTTTCTCTCTTTCTCTTCACACATTGTTAAAAGCTTTTGTTCCTGCTATAACCGATTGGGCTCCGGCGATGCCCTATTATTGCCGAAAACTTTTAATGGAGACAAAGAGTAGGAAAAAATGTCCCTGTTATAACCGGATCTCTGTTATTACCGCGCCTGTTATATAGTTTCCACTGTAGTGCCTTTCAGGACCAAAGCATTTTGATGCCCAATGAGACCCAAGCCTGTACTCTGTACAACGTAAAAATGTTAATAAAAGTGTGTAGGTTGTAATAGACTAGTAGTAGACTGTCAAGTGGAACAGTTGTCAGACGGTAGACCATCAAGTAGAACAGAAACATTGTGGTAGAACATCAGGTGGAGTGGCACCCAATGCTCTCTGCTCTGTCTTCTAGAAGGATTGCGGGCCGACTTCTGTTCTTTCTAGGTAGCACTATTTTAACATCGATATCTATGGCAAGATATCTGAGGATTGAACAGAAGAAGAAACGACAAAAATTTTAAGTATATTTTTACACCCCTTTCTTCATTAGGTGGGCTTCAACCATGCCTGTCGGGGCAGACGGGCTTAGAATTAGAGAGGTACAATGACAGAGATATATCGAATAAAATTTCTCCCCACACAAGAATCGAACTCTGGTCTTCAGTGTGCAACGACGAAGCGCTTAATCTTCTAGAACATCAGACCTAACACTACTAACAGCTCTTGTGCTTGCTCCTCCTGTAAATGGCTTGAAACTGTTGATCTGAGTACTTTGGGGATCTTGACTCTTCAGGATGCTCTTTTTTTTTTGAGCGACATCTTTTCGAGTATTCATTTTCTTTTGATAAAAATATTGACTTTGCAAGTACATGTACTTTTGTTGTTTAAAGTGAATTTCAAAAGATTTTGCAAATTTTTAAAAGAGTTGATGAAGTGTATTCCTCGTCCCAGAAATTTAAAGCAAAAGCAAAGAGAGAGGGAGAAGTGGAAATATAATAGAGATCATACTAAAAGTAAAAGCCTGGTCAGTGTAAAGAAGAAAGTGACATAGACACAAAAACATCAAATCTGAGCATCCTTTTATTTCCCCTTAGAAAAGGAATTTTTGGAAAATAGGTAAATTTATATCGATCTTTCTTCCGTGTCTTGTTGTCTCCAGTCTTTTTTTTAAAATGTGGATACACTTGACTTTTTAATAGGCTTTGGTCAATGATGACCATTTCCCATTTGATCTTTTGTATAGAGTCATGATTCTAGTGTTTTTCTGGAGTACACGTACCTTGTGAATGCTATGTTCGTAAATATGTTCATCCATGTCTTGTCTGAGGTTTTGTCCGCGAAGTTCGATGAACTTTTTTGTAAAGACTCCCATCTTGACTGTCTTGGGAAATAAGATGGTCGCTAACTGATAAAGACTCCTTCTGATTACCCTTCTCTTCACACCTTTGAAGCTTCAACTTCAAGCCCAGTCTTTATTGTAATTTTTCTTGGTTTTTTTTTTTCCGTACGACACTTTGGGTTGAGTGGTATTATATGCTGACTGTTGTTGTATCTTAAGACCAGAGTAAACATTTTTTTTCTTGGTAATCTGAGTTTTGACTTATTTTCACTCTTTTTCATAAATTTCCTAACAGTGGTGGACATCTTCTAAAGCCTTTTTTGTTCTGATGTGTGATTTATTTTATTTGTCTGAAAGCTATTGGACTCTCTATAGCATGGTGGGCTTATTCTACTTGTTTTCAGCATTAAATTAAAATTTAATATAAGTTTATGTTGAATGGCTGTTTTCTACTGGGGATTACCAGGATTGTCCACACCGTCCAATCTTTGGTTGTGAGGCTTTATTGTGCTGCAAACATTAAATGTTCCATTTTTTTCTGGAGTTTTCACTTTTTTCTCGTGCAACCAGTTAGTGTAGCTGGGTCTTTTTTTTGGTAACACATGGTCCTAGAACAGTGTGCAATGTGACGTATTCTGCCAGTTGAAACTAATGTTGCGTTTGGAAATTGAATTTAACTTCATACTGAATGATACTGTAGTTGAAAAAAGAATCCAAAAACAAGTTTCTGCTATATTATAACTCTTTACAATAATAATCCATCATCTGTCATCTGTCTGAGCTAAGCTTTTAACACCGCATGTTCCATCCTGTCTGTCATGGTCATCCACTGATGCAACAAAAGTCAAAGCCTCTAGAATGAAAGTAAAATCTCTTGGTGAAAATTTTTCATTTTTTGGCTGGCCCTAAAATTTGGAACTCCTTGCCCCTGGCCCCCAGAGAAACAACAAATCCTAATACGTTTAAAGTGATTACTGAAGACTGACTTGTTTAAGTCTTAGGTGTTAGTGGTTCTGATGCGTCTGGTTTTCACTGCTGTCCTTAATGTTATAAATGGCTGAGAATGAATGTTGTGGTTGAACTGGTTCTCTTCTTTATTGAAATGTTTTTTTCTTGTGAATGAAGTATTGCTCTAGTGTCACAGTGTGTAAAGTGCTCAGAGCCTAAGTATTGCTCTAGTGTGTAAAGTGCTCAGAGCCTATACCTAGCGCTATGTAAGTGCAATCTATTATTTTGTCTTTTTTATTCATTGTTTCAAAAGTTCATGCTTTTGTTGACTAGTTGTAAGTATGAGTAATTTAATTTTATTTACTGGGATCTTTGTGTGCATTTTTTAAACAACTGTTTTCTTATGTTCACAGGAAATCGAAAAATACTTCATCTGGGAGAGGTCCGGCAAGTCCTTCCAGATATTCTAAGAAACAGAATAGATCTCCTTCGCCTAATCGTAGCCACAATCGTCTTTCTCCAAGTTCCTCACGTATTTCATCTTATTCCTCGTCCAAAAACAGAGTCAGCAGTAGGGAGACATTCCAGTTTGCTACTAGCCTTGCTTCTGAGTTGATTAAGAAGAGGAAAGCAAGAGAAAATAAAAATCTCAATATTGCGCAAGATGTTTGCTCAGTTGACAGTAAAACAGACTCCCCTGATCTGGAAGTGATAAGTAGGTCACCAACTCCAGTTAAAAATGTTCACAGTGTGCCAAAGACTGATTCCTCTTTTAGAAGTGATTTGCCATCTTCTGGGCCTCAAACACCTCAACCGCCAAGTAGAGGAAATGATTCTCGACATGAAGATGTGGTCATTCAGTTAGAAAATAAGCCTTCTGAGACACCCCCACAAAAGGTTGTAAATGAACGTCGTGAAGGTAAACCGAATGGATTGGAAAGCGATCAAAGACATCGGAACAGCCAGATGTCAACATTACCACAGCTCCCCCTCCCAGATTTGGGCCCTGAAGATGAAATGGATCTTGAACAGAGCCCTTACAAGTAAGTTTTAAAAAATCCCTTTTTGCCGCAAAATGAGTAGAAAATAACCTTCTGATACAGCTCAAACAGACAAAAGGTTTGGCTTTGCCTCACTTGCCAAAATTTGACCAATCTTGCTTTTGGGAGAGACTTGGTGTCAGTGTTGAAAGCAGGTTTTAAGCTTTTAGTTAGACAAGTAGAAATGTAAGTAATATTGTGATAAAGATATTAATGGGAGATTCACTCATGATTTACTCAAAGAGTTCTGAGGAATACTATGAAATACATTATTTTTAAAATCTGAATATCTGTTGTAAATTAAATGAATGTTTTTTTTTCTTCCATTCATAGTGTATTAATTAACACTTTGCCATCTTATTTTGGGGAGAATCCGAAGAAACTGGATGGTAAACATTGCCAATCGGCGAGATGAGACGGCTTAGTGTTAATTATTATGTGAAGGATCCTGACAGTGCTTTTCTTTTCTATTATCTTTCAGTGAAATCAAAAAAGAGAAGGAACCATCCCGCCCAAGAGGTATTCGTGATCTTCCAATGCCACCGGTTGTTGATGATCCTGAACCCGAAGAAGTGGAACTTCCTCCCCCAAAGAAAGAAGAAGCACCAAAATTCAGGCGACCGAAGTATGTATTTAGAATCTGAATTGAAATTATCACTTTTATTTTTGGTTTGACACACATTCATGTGTTATGCCGTCCCAAGGTAGAGTGATGTAACTGCACATTTCATGATTTTGAGAAATACCAGGGAAACTACTGATACTTACTATTGAAATCAGTCACTTGCATAGCGTTACAACTTGGAAAACTGCAATATAAGATGTGGACACGACACCTGCCTTTGACACAAGAAGGATATGGGGAAGATTAGTGTAACAAACCAATAAACAAAATTTTGTCGGATATGTTGCTATACCTGTGGATGGCAATGTTGTATATCTGTATGAAGACAGGCATAGCGAACTCATTATTAAAAAGTTAAGTTTTGAAGTAGGGAACAATGGTCTTTATGTATTGTATGAGTACTACTTATAGAGCTCATATTGGTGACCTATACTCTGACATGGGGTGAGAAATACTGCTGATGATGATACAGCAGAGCTATTATTTTGCCTGATAAACTGTTTGTTTTCCTCAAATCCATATAGTTTTTCGTCTTCTACAAGTTCTTTGAGTGCTGAAAATTTTACTGTATAGTCTCTAAATAAAAGACTTCTTGTATTTTAGTTTGAACTAGATCAAATATAGATATTGGTGTCCTTTGTTTTCGACCTTCCCAAATTGTTAAAACAATTTATGCAGTATTGACACATTTGGTTTTTCTTAGCAGTGCACGTTTTATTGATCTTTCAAATTGCTCCAAAGAACCTTGAAGATTAAAGTTTTTAAAAATAAAATGTGCAAACTGTCTCGGATTATTAATTCCATTGTGTAGGATGCCTTTTTGAAATGTCATTGTTTATGTTCTTTTCTCAGATTATGTCATCGCAGACGTTATAGTGATGAACAAGGTGACTGGAGTGAACGCTGTGTAGATGTTTTTCATATACTTCAAATCATTGGAGAAGGAACATATGGTCAGGTGTACAAGGCAAAAGATATTGCTCTTGGTAAGTTTCTTTAAAGCAATTGATGATGTGTAATAGATAAAATTAAGATAAAAAAATGCTCCTTACAATTCGTTGTTATGTCTCAAATGCCGGCATTTACGTGAACTTTCTGTTGAAAGGCTTGTGCAGTTGCCAGATTAATGATCCAATTGAATTAAATGTAAGAACTGTTGAGAGCTACTGAAAATGGGAATAGAGTTAGTCACAAGGGCATTCCTTGGTATCATGTCCTTGAAGTTGCCTGGCTTGCTTTTTTATGGAAAATTGCCATCATCAGACTGCAAGTTTGAATTACCATTGTCTGCCTTTCTGTTGTGTTATTTTGTCACCTATTGTTATGAACAAAAATGAAAATGTGTAAAGTGCCTTAAGTTTGTAACATGCTGAGATACATGTTATTTTTAATTTCCTGGAGTTTTCAAGTGAAAAGGGAAATAAATTTACGGCAAAGACTTAATGTGTATATAGCAAGGTGCTTTTTTTTTTACATTGCTTTTATTGTGATGTAATTACATTTGTTTTTCATTGCCAAATAAAAATTTATGTACTGAATTCCACCCTCCCAACACCATTACCTTACCACTACCACTGCCATGCATTGTCAGTTTAAAAAAAAAGAATTCAAAGTTGCACACTATTTGTTGTTTTTTGTTTATAGAAATATCAAAGCTTACTAAGCTTTATATAGTTAAATTGTAGCAGGGATTGTATTACTTACAACTGAAAATTATTGTTTTTCACAGAAACTCTGGTTGCTCTAAAGAAAGTTCGCCTGGAGAATGAAAAAGAAGGTTTTCCAATAACAGCTGTGAGAGAAATAAAAATCCTGCGTCAGCTGCAGCACCCCAACATAGTCAATCTCAAGGAAATAGTCACTGACAAACAGGATGCCTTAGATTTCAAGAAAGACAGAGGTATTGATGCTGAAACTGCAATTATTTCTCCTTATTACAAGTACCTGCCTTTAATTTTGAAAGCTTATATTTCTATGCTCAATTGGTTTTTGATGACTTAAACTCAACTGTTGACCATATCGGCACGTTGACATGGTTGTATAAACATCAACAAAGAAAAGGCCCTTCTGGTTTTTGCAATGTTTTACACCTGCTCTTCAGATAATCCAATATTTAGTAGAGATTCGTTTTCTTTAGGGGATCCTTATTTTGTAAATTCGAGAAAAAATCCAGGCAGGTGGTGACATCTTTACACTATATTGGCACTTCCGTCTTGTCTTTTTTTTTTTATAGCAAAAATTATAAAGATTTTGGTGCTTCCTTTGGGGAAGAAGTATATCTGTTTCTTCTTACGAAGAGGAATGGGCTAGAATATTTGTATGCGATTTGGTACTGGCATTAAGCTTCAGCTAAATGTGCCGGGCTCTTTTGAAAGAGATGATGTTGTATAAAAGCAGCAGACTGCTACTACAGTTATAAATTTTTCGTGCTGAATAGCAAAAAGCACACATAAGTTTTAATCTGAGGTCTGTCGTCTTTGGAAATTGTGTGGTTTGGAAAAGAATGAAACCTTCAATTGTTCAAAAAATGATGTAAGACATAGACCATTGTGTTGGAAAAAAAAGAACAAAGTTTGGAAACATAATTCTCCAGTGTCTGAAGTAGTAACAAGTGAGGGATGAGGAAACACAAAATTTGTAATTACTGTTCCTTGTTCGTTCAAAATCCAGAAAGCCGATTTCTTTTGGAAGTGCTGTTCAATGTAAGTGCTCTGCTTTTCTTAATCTTTATAATGTGAAATTTTAAAGTCTTAAATTGATATTTTTCAGGATCGTTTTACTTGGTGTTTGAGTACATGGATCACGATCTGATGGGACTTCTTGAGTCTGGAATGGTAACACTTCATGAAGAACACATAGCCTCTTTCATGAAGCAGTTGTTACAAGGATTGCAGTACTGCCACAGGAAACATTTCCTGCACAGAGACATTAAATGCTCCAATATCCTTTTGAATAACAGGCAAGTATATGATTTGGTACTTTCTTGTTTTGTGTGATTGCTTTATATGCAGACAGTATTTATTCAGCCTACTGCCGTTTTTATATTATGTTCTAGTCCGCGCTGTTTAAAGAAAAGTTGTTGATAGGGGTAACGATGATGAATGCAAAATTGTAGGTTGTTGCAACATTAAAAGTTTCTTTCCCCTAAAAAATTTAGTGGCTCCTGTTTTGGGTGTACTTGTAATCAGTTGCGTAGATTTCTCAATTTGTCTCATACAGCTTTTTAGAAGCAAATATATGATTTTCTTGCATGTGTGCGTCTGTTTTCCTCTAAGGGAAACTGCATGAGATAATGGTTGTCAAAATTGTTCTTGTCTTAGTGCCACATATTTTGTCAAGTGGGTAGTTTTGTGTTTGTATTGCCAAACCTTATATTCGTGACACAGTTGGGAAATATCAAGGCTTCTGTTTATGGACTTTTCTTTCTAAACTTGAACATGTTTTTTATACATATGTTTATTTCAGAGGTCAGATAAAACTAGGGGATCTGGGTTTGGCTCGCTACTACCATGCTGAGGACAAGGATCGGCTGTACACAAACAAAGTCATAACACTGTGGTACAGACCACCAGAACTGCTACTTGGAGAAGAAAGATATGGACCTGCTATTGATATCTGGAGTTTAGGGTAAGTGCACTTTGAAAACAAAGGACAAGTGAGTATGGAAATTATGATTATTTTAAAAGTTTTATGTTGGTTTGTAAAAGTTCCTAATTGTTATATTGTTGTTTGCAATTGATTTTCTTTTGCTAAAACATATTTTCCTGAGAGCCTTTGTACTTTAATTAGGGTTGAGCGCTATATAAATGTCATTAAATTATTATTATTTTAATGTGTGGAAACTCTGGATAAGCATAATTTCAATAGATATGAATTACAGCTTTTGTGAAAATTGTAGAAATGTAAGGAACCTTCTGGCCAATAAAAATACAAGGAAAATGTGCAGGCCTATTTGGTACAATTGTTCGAATTTTTTTTGTTCACCTACACAAGTTAATTCCGCTATCGTTTATGTGGAATTTTGCTTTTTAGGGCTGCGAACCATCAACGCCACACTTGTAGCCAAAAGTTTAATTTGAATAAATCATGTGACAATGCACTTCTCATATTAATTTCGTTTTGTTTTCTTCTGATGTTACAGATGTATTCTTGGAGAACTGTTTTTGAAGGAGCCTATTTTCAAAGCCAAGGAAGAGTACGCTCAACTTGATCGTATCAGCATGACCTGTGGCACTCCATGTCCTGCTAACTGGCCAGAAGTCATCAAATTGCCACTCTTTCACAGCTTGAAACCCAAGAAAGTACATCGAAGACGGCTGAGAGAGGAGTTCTCCTTGTGAGTATATTTTTTTATCTTTATGCTGAGATATCTTCCTTTCTTTCCTCAGAGGTAGAACAAAAATTTTCTTTTTTACGATGGTTGTGTGAAGTTAGTTTATATTGTGGCGTGCATGATTTTTTTAACTGTAGCTTTTGTTTGTATTGATTTAAAAAATTGAGAAGTTGGTTGCACTTCTATTTCTGAGATGAGTAAGGTCAGGGTGCTTGTATGAAATTCACATAGGTGGTCTATGGCCACTACAAATATTTTTGCATTCTATGAGCTTCACACACAAATGCACACATACATGCAGCTATACATTCAAGAACAGAAATTATGCATAAACAGTACTTCATCTCATGTAGTATTTTATCACATGTGTCGATGCATGTTTGCCTGAAATGATGAATGTGAAAAAAATATTTCATTGGAGGAATAAACAAAAGTGGATTTGTGCAAATACAGTGGAACCTTCTTTAACAACCACCTGTCCAAGACAAATCACTTGTACAAACAACCACTTCTCATTTTCTCCCTTGCATTTTTTTTCCTATCTGATAATTTATACTGTTAAAGAGGACCGCCTGTCTAAGATTACCACTTTTCTCCTTGACAATGGGTGGTCGTTTTCAACTGGTTCGACTGTACTTTGATCAATAGTGGATTTTTCACATAGTTTGTGTTGAGCTGTTATTCGCATGTGAGCAAACTTTGTATTATTTGTCTGTCTGACAGTTGTGTTGTGCCATTAAAAGTTTCATTGAAGTCATTTGATGTGAATCCATTGCATACTCCTTTCTTTTTATGTTGATTCCACCTTCCTCTTTTCTGTATTATATTCTTCTCTAAAACTCTGACCTCTCATTTGAGTGTAGATTGTGAGGCTTTCCATTGCTGTGAATTAGGAATATGGGAAGCCATGTCATTGCTATGTGAATTTCAGCATGCCCAAGCTAGCTCTGGATTTGATGGACCACATGCTGGAGTTGGATCCAAGCAGAAGATGTACAGCGGATCAGGGTCTGACTTGCCCGTGGCTGAGAGACATTGATCCAAATTCCATTCCACCTCCAAAGTAAGAATATATAAAAGATTTGTTTTTCCAAAACCAGGGATAGGTTTTGATTATTTTTGGGGAGTAGTTTATTTGGTGTATCCAATTTATTTCCAGATTTCTTCCAAAGCTAGCAAGTGATTATGTTTCCAGAGAGTATTTCTAAAAACACGGTCATGGTCAGATGGAGGGGAATGTGAAGAGTGATAGCTTGAATCTGCTTTTTGGTGATAATGTGCTATAGATCACTGAAAACAATACGTTTAGTATTGTAATGGTGTAAAACTGGTTGAAGGCTCTGGGGTTTATTTCATTATTGGAGGTTTTAGATGCTGAATATAACAATATACCGGAGTAGGTTCCTGCTATGTATTTGTCAGTTTCCACAAATTATGGAAATAGTTTTTTTCCCCTGGGTTGCTCAGTAGGTGAAGATGAGCTCAAACAGAACAGTATTTATCCAACTCCTGCACGTACTATACATGTTGTGCCCTTACAATGATAGGGTTTTAACCACAGGATGCATCGTTTTGAGAAAATGGGATTGAAAAGTTCACGCTTGTATAGCTCGAATGTTTTTACTCCTTATTTGTTAAGCGTGAAGCTGAAAAAAAATTACAGGTCAGATTGTCTTGAACTTCTGATGCGGTGTGCAGGACATCTGTGTCATCAATGTATAAATTGTAATGCAGTTATTACAAATATTGGTTAGTGGTGTGGTTTACTTCTTCTTTCCTATCAAACATCTATCGTCCGTATCTCCCCCTTTTCTTTTTTATGTTTGTTACTCTCTTGTAGCACCTAATCTCCTGGCCCTCATATGACCTTGTGCAGTTGCGAGTGCCGTAAAACCTCTACTAAAACTAAAGTATTGGTTATAACCCTGTCATTGTCATTCTAAGGGTGCGTTATACGCTCAGCAGCTACTTGTGTGTATTGTGCCTTTTATGATGATTTAGGAAGTGACGATCCAAGTCTATGTTGTTCTACTTCTATCAGTATTAAGAACAAATTTTCCCAACAGGATTTCTTCATGATTCAGTTCATGTTTTTGAACTTCTAATGACTGGTTTGTGTACAAGTTTAGTATCTTTGTGCCAGCGATAGTTAAAAAAAGTTTGTGCCGTTATTAGTTATCTGTTTAGAAAAACTCATCATAGCCAGTGAACACTGAAGATCAACACAGCTTGAATGATTAAAAATAATGGAAGTGATTCTTGTATAAAGTTAAGAGATCTAGTGACAATGATGAATCAGTGAAAGTGTTGTTGAAGAATCTGTGGGTTTAGTCAATAATGATGGTGGTTACAACACACTGTTGTCATTGTCCGTTACTCTATTCCCTTGGAAATACATTTGTTCATATTTTATTTCTCCTCGTTCAATTGTGAGCATAAATAGTCGGACTTGCTTTTGAAGACCATGTACCAAATATGCTTGTGGACACTGAAATTTTTCTAGAGACATCATGAATACAATGCTGATGTCATAATTGAGTCTTAATTTCTTCACAAAGACAAAGTTTTGCTCATAACTGATAAACATTTATTTGCTCGGTACATTTGTTTATAAACAGAAATGAAAATAGTTTTCGTTACTTGTTTTTCTTGTTGGATGGATTATTTTCAAAATAATTGCCTTTCTATTGATGTGAAAAGAGTTCCAAGTGCAGTATTTCTGTGTTCTAAAAACCTTTGCATATTTTTAGATGAAGATTCTCATTTTCTTTTGTTGGCACCTGTACTGCTACTCCTGCTCTTTTGCCCTGTCTTATTTCAGCGCTAAATTTAAATAGGTAATCTTGCTGCTTGCAACGTGAGCTGTCGGAACTAGCAGGCTTGAGGAAAAGAATCTCGTCTCATGTCAAATTATCACTTTACAGCACTAGTTGCAGTACATGTCGGCCACTTATCTTTTTCTCTCTCAGTTCTCTAGAAAGTTTTCTTGTCCACTTGTGAAGTTGATGGTTTACATCTTTATGTGTTTAAACTGTTTTGTTATCTGTCTGGCTTTCTTTGTTTTAAACTTTGGTTGACTAGTTGTAAACTCCATGTTGGCATTGTGTTCTTCTTGTGTGAACAAAATTGAATGTAAATGATAGAACATTCATGTTGTATCAAGTCTTGGAATGTTTCTTTACTTTCCAGTTTGCCAAAGGATCAAGATTGTCATGAGCTTTGGTGCAAGAATCGCAAGAAAGAAATGCGAGAGCAGCAGCAATATAAAGATGAGCCTCCCTCAAAGACTTCATATCAAGCATGGGGTGCTAAACCCTTTCCAGTAGCAAAGCCTTTGCCGAATGCTGTACCTCCTGATCCAAAAGCTTCCTCAGCTGTGCCCAAAAGTAATGTTGCAGGGGACCAGAAAGATTTGGGAAAAACATCACACACTGTTCCAGACATTGGGAATGCCAAAGGAGACACCAAAGGTCCCCAAAATCAGTTGTCAAAGTTAATTGGTATTTTGCAGACTCAGCAAAGTATTACCACAGATCAAATTGCAAATAGTTTAGGTATAAATGTAGGACCTCAGACTTCTATGCTGTTGAGCAATCTCAAGGAGCAGCTCATGATTGCTATGTCTAGTGTGAAGAAAAACCCAGGAATGGAAAAAGGTGATGTCCTGCCTTCATTTGCTAGCTCAATAGCGGCTGTACAAAATGTTTTGTCAAATAGCACTGCATCAGCTCTGTCTCTGGATGCCCACATGCAGTCTAAAGACTACCATGAAGCAAGGAGTGTTGGCCACTCAAGCATTTCAACATCACAGTTTGAAGAGCGGGATGGCTCATTGGCCAGTGAGTTTGCCCAGGCGACAGATTCAAATGCAGACAAGCATGCAGGAGTAAAAGCTGCTCTTGCCAACCTTCTGAGCCAGCAAGGCATTGGAGTGAAAATAGGTGGCAGCAAATTTGACAGTTCTACGTCCTCTAAATCAAACTCTCCTCCTGGTAGCCAATACTCTGCACAACCTATGTTCACAGAACAGGGGAGTGATAATTCGTCAGCTCTGAACAAACAATTTGATAATTCATCTTTCGGTAGTTCCTCTAGTCGCCCACCATACCCTCCAGGGTATTATGGAGACCGTTCTCAGGGACCTGGCTTGAAGGCATTTCCGGAAGATAGTGTTCCAAAACAGAGTCAAGGAGCTTCATACTACCCCTACAGAGAAAGACCTGGCAATGCTCCTGGTGTCCCACCTCAGACTCGAGATCCATATGACAGAGAATATACTGGAAGTGGCTCATTTGAATCGCGGCTTGGCTGGTAGTTGGAATTTGTTTATTTAGGCTGTGTTTTTTTTTTCGGGGAGGGGGTGATTTGGGATGTGAAAGATTGACATGTAGTTGTCTCTCAGAGGTATTAAAAATCTAAAGCACTGGCATTCATGCAGTTGCCTTGAACGGGGTCATTCCGTAACTTGTTGCCATCACTAGTATTTCATGATGTTGATGTTGACAGTGATAGTTATATATATTGAATACCTTGTAAATATGTGTGAAAGCAGGGGACACCACTTGCTGACTTGGGATAAAATAAGATTTATTTTAGTGAAAGTTTTTTTTTTTTTTTACTGAGTACGTTTGTTATCTCTCCCCTATGAAATTATTTTGTACAATGCAATTATATTCACTATTGCATTTGAGGTTTGACCTTTTAGAACCATTTCCAGAGGTTTGAGCTTAATATTTAACGGGCATAGGACATGATTTTTTTCTCTAGAAGTATTTGCAAATCTAACAAAAACAAATGTTGAAACTGAATGACAATATAAAGTTGAAAACATAGGCCTGGTTAATATTTATTGTCATAGAGTCCACTTAGAATAACATAGATATTTTATACTTGCTTAGTCCTCCAAGCACCAGAGTGTTATGGTGTCAGAGTAAGACTTTTATTGGTCAGAAATTCCCTGAGATCGTAATAGCATTCATCCCAAATTTTCTTCATAAATTTTCTGAAAGTTTGATGGTTTTGCAAAACAGTAAAATGGGAACCAAATTTTCTTGCCTTTTTGTTTACCTTAGCCCATGTATGAGGGAGCTCTTATTTGAGAAACGCAGGTGTTAACTACTATAAACTAGTGAGAAAAGTTTTTTTAATTTTATTTTTGCGTGTGAACCAGGTCACAAATTTAGCAGGGCAACTTTTTCAAAAAGTTTATAGGTTTTGGACATTTAGAACAGAATCCATACAAAATACTATAAATGAGGAATCCATGGAACTAAAAGCCTCAGTTGCATCCATTCTTTTTTAGAAAAAAAGAAAAGGAATTGGCAATGGAGTGCTTTGTATCGTGATGTTTTTAGATTTTGTGGCAGTGGTTGGATCCACCCTTCATCTAAAGTGTCAGTACCAACTTTACCTCAGAGAGCTTGGTCTTAATTCTTTCATTTCATTTATTGGATCATCTGAATCGTTATTTCAGATGTTGTGTCCTTTCACCTGGCTCCCCCCGTCCAGTGTGTGGGTCCAGTTTAAAAGTTTAATTTTCCTTGAAAACCTATTGATTACCAAAGGCAAGTGGGCTTCGGGGCAAATGACGTTAAAGCTATTTTGAGGACAGTGAAAATCTCAACAGTATTTTTGGCGCAGAATATTTGCCTGGTTCCCAAATACAGATTATCTTCCCATTTTTTAAATCCCATCTACAGTTCCAAATCCTATAGCTTACCACAAAATGGGAAGTTTGTAATCATCACATTTGCAGTGAGAGTGCAGTGAGATAATATTTAATTGAAACTTTAGTATGAATCCTTTGAACTTCGGTGTCATAAAACTATTAAAAATGTTATTATAGATGGACTCTATTGTGATAATTTTTTTCTGCCAACAGTGGGCAGAGTCCCACCTTGATAAATATAATTTTTATGTTAGAAAATAGCTTTGGTAACTGCAGATTAACGAATCGCAATTTGTAGACACCACTCTTAACTTTCACATTTTGTGTTTTGTCCTTTTATTATTATAATTGCTAGCTACTCTTGAACAAGGTTCTGGTTCCCAAGCAAGTTGTGTTTTCTATCCGATGGTGATTTCATGTTTCAAGTACCACTTGGAAAGGAATATTAAGTTTCAGATTTGTGTCGGATCATTTATGGCTTTTATGCATTTACCTTTTTTCCCCCTTACAATTACAGGTTTACGTTAATAAAGTGATATACATCATTTCACTAATGTTATTGACACATTGGCTTTTAGGAAGTATATTGTGTTGCAAGAGAAGTAGTGGGTTTTTTGTTTAAATTTTATGATGGTAATATGGGGAAATGTAATTTGGCTGGGATAAGCTTGAAAAATGTTGGAAAGTGTGATGTGGTTGGGGTGTGGAATTTTTTTGTTTGCTATCGTTAATTTTTGCAGTTGTCTCTTTTATCCGGTGCTGCTACTGAGGCAGCCGTTGTTCATGATTGATGGATGGGATTTACTTCAATCAAGCACAAAAACGTAAAATTTAGAAATAAATACATTTGTCCAACTGCTTTTCTCAAGACAGTGGTGCTAGAGGTTAAGTGATAATATGGCTTGTTTCTTTTCTAAGCGTCAGTTGTTAGGGTATTATGTGCAATTCAAGGGGCTTATTAATTTTGTTTTTGAACTTTGCTCTGATTGATAAAGGTTATTATAAAACTGGCTGACTACCGACAGTGTAGTCATTAATTTTGTAAGTATCCCCTGCAGCTGTTTATTGTTAGGTCTTACTGTTTTTTGCTGTACTGCTGCTTGGTATATTTCAGCAAAAAGATATGACCATGGGCATGGAATACGGAGACATTTATTGAGATTCTGTGGCCATGGTTATATCACTGCTGTTGGATAGTAGGCAGTTATGTAGTAGCCTACTAAAGTATGGTAGAATGCCTATCAATTCACTCTTTTTCTAAAAGGGTATGAGAGATTTGATGTTTCTTCAAATTTTCTTAATCATCAAATTACCCTGAAACTGACGTGTTAATCAAGAAAACATGCAGTTTGTTATTATTGATTAAAGTGTTGTTTATGTACCTGATGAATTTTGTCTTTTTTGGTGTCTTTGAGACATCACAATGTTGTTATGACGTCTGATTTTATTCTCCTGTAATATTTTTTTGTGATGTTAAATTATTTGCGCTGGATTGTTCCCTCCGTGATGGACTCCAGTTGGATGGATTGAATGTACTGGTAATGGTAAATTGGCCCTTATAGCTTGTCGTTCCATTAAATGGAGGGGTATTTGGTTGGGAAGAAAGACCACAGCGGTTGCGGTGCTATGATACAAGACTTCCTGAGATAGCGTTTCTCATGTACGTGCAGAGTAGGATTTGAACTATTGTGCAAAAGTGTGTTGTCATGTGATTTTTTTTTCTCAGTCCGTGGTTCTTTGTAAGGTGTCAGATATTCCATGAAAGACATTTTGTCTCCTTATTCGCAAGGACGATGTCTGGTGTGGCTGCGGAGATTTCTTATTATGGTCTTTTTGTGCATCCCAAGTTGGTACCGTGAAATACAGACAGTTATTTCAGGCAGAGCCCCGTGTGTCCCTAAGGCAGCTTGAGCTGTCTTTAGGCCTACTCTCCAATAGCTCTCTTTGGCAAACAGATACAAAAGTAGTCAAGAAACGAGTCAGGGCATCAAGTGGTGTCAGTTTTATTCTCGCGATTGTGTCCCAGAGTCTTCAAAAATTCCCCATCTACCTGCATGGAGCGGCGACAGCTTTCGTTCTATGGACAGAAATGAGAAATCATCACCTCCAGCCATCATATCGATTTGTCTACGACATGCTAGCTCTTTTCAGCATATGCAGGATCTTCCCTATTATCTGTGGCAGAACGTCAGTATTACCAGCAGGTGGGTTATTTGTTTGTGAAATAAATCTTTGTTCATTACACTCTTTGTTTTTTATGTGATTAGAACTGAAAGAAATTCTGATCAAGCAACTTTCGCAGGCAACTGAAGTACTGTTAATGTTCTTGTGATAGGCAGAATTTCACCGTGGGTCTTGCTCTTTCATTTTGTGCATTTTTGTTTCTGAAATAAGGGAACGAATGGAGTAAAAGTAATTTGTTAAATGATCATAGAATATCGACATATTTTAATTATCACGAGAAGTTCACAGTACTTTTGTGCAGTTGTACTTTTAATATCGTGGGAAAATGACCTGAAAGTTTTTAAAAGTCCTGTGAAGACCCTTCCAATCCACATGCTCATCTCTCTTCTGTCAATGGCAATTTTTAAAAATCCTTTCATTACAACCTCTTCTTCTTGAAAACATGTAACTTCTTTTCAGATTTGTGACTCCTGACTTTTGGGCAGCAAACTTAAATGAGTTTTTTCTCTTTATCCCCTCTACAATTGTTGACATGATCAGTATTCCATCAGAATGGATTGTGCCACTTCCACTGGACCAGGTGTTATTTGACCCAAGTTGGTTTTCAGGCTTTTCTCATAAAGTTGTAGTGGAATTTTCAAGTTCCTGAACATAGTAGCAGATAAAACTAATGAGACCCCTCGATGTGAAATCGAGTCCTGTTTCATAGGTTTTGTGTTTTTGTACAATCGGACCGTGGATCCTCAGCAGTTCGTGGGCAAAATATCATGATCTTACCATACTTGTCTGAAAAAAAATAATAAAGAAGTCGTGCAAGAAGCGAGTATATCTTTTTTGAATGGTCCTTTGAAAAAAACCCATCTCTAATTAATCAGTGAGAACTTTGGCAGAGCATAATTTATACGAATGCCTCTTCAGAAGTCAGCAAGAGTCGAACCTGAAGAAAGAGATTAATTTACAAAGACCACACACAGCTCTTGTTAGTTCACTTTTGATCGGACCTAGACACCTTGAAACCTATGTGCTATGTAACAAGTTCTAGCAGATGACACATTGGTCAGTTAATAGGTAGTAGAGTCTGCAGAACCTAATTGCTCAATACTGAGCTTCTCTCTTGTCATGACGAGAGGTCTTGTCTTGTCTTGACTTTCTACAACCAAACATGTAGAGATTGAAATTCAGACAAAAAGACAATGACCACAGCTTTCCAAGTACACTGATTTATGTGTTTACGTACCGGTACATCTCTATCTATGAGAAACGGTAAGTTTATACTTCACAACGGTGGACTCGGCCGCCGCAACAGCACTTGGGGACCAGCCTGCTGATCAGGAAAGGTAAGGTGTCACGTCTGTATGTTTCAACGATCTAGATCGTGATACACCATTTTACAATGTAGTTAAATCCCCTGCTATTTCATTGTATGCTGTATAGTACAGTACCTCTAGTGGGAAGTCTGTCCTTGAAAGGGTGACACACTCCCGATTTAGTTTTAAACTTCCAAGCTCAAGACACGTATCGTAGCGAGCCCAGTTTACGCTTTTCTGTAGTCTTGTGGAGTTTTGCCGATTTGGAATTTGGGTCTGTAGAACTAGTCTGCATTGAACCCGTCACCGCAATCCCCCCCACCCTCCCTTGTTTTCTACGAGTTTGCATATGTGCGTAACCGAACAGGATTAAAAAGAACATCTGTTCCACGTTTTTAGAAGTTGGAGCTTGGCCAATGTTGAATGCGTCCCCTTGAGACTTCTTTTCAGTGATCATTTCATATTGTCGTTCTGGGTCAGAGTGGTTAAGTATTCTTCCGGTTCTTATGAACACATTGATTGGCATTTGTAGACCTTTTCGTGGCGCTCTGTCGGCCAGCCAGCTGTTTAGTTCTTCACGGTGGTTACGTCTGTAGTGTCACGTCCTCTCCTTCCAAGTCAAGCAGTGTGCCGTGGGCCGCTAGCGTTGAGTATTGTTGTTTCGGGCATTCATTGATGCTTATTCTTCTAGTTCGTTTCCAGTCCAGAAATAGGCTGATAAAGTGATATTTGGACATGGTTGTCTGATTTTGATGTGTGATTTTGTTGAGGGTGGTCGACGGTCGAGGAATTTCAGTTTCACGGTCATTGGCTATGACTATGTAGTATGACAAATATTTCTTTCTTTTGTTTTCTGGGATTGGCTGTTTGTTCTTTGGCGTCTCAAAAGCGCAGCTGATATTACTGATAAGAACAGTAAGACAATGGATCATGAAGGTTTTTTTTACCTTGTCATTGTTATTACCGCTTTCTATCCAACAGAGGCACTCCGTCAAATGTTATCATAGTACCGGTACCACGTATAATGCTAATTTTTGTTAAAAATTTACACTTGGTCAATGACGTATAATTTTGGCACAATTTACTGAGTTCATAGTATTTGGATACAGACATCTCTACTCTAACATGATAGTAAACTTTTGTGACCTCTTGTATTCTGTCTTTCTGTTCCACTTTTCACATGAATTTATAATCTCTAGAAGAGGCCTACCGGGTGAGACAATTGCAAACACACAAACTCACACACAGTATTGGGTCTTGACCCAAGTTTCTCTCCACTACCATTACATACTGGAAATGAGCATGCAATATAGGTTCATTATATGCCATTGTTTGGGTCCTTTACATCATGGCAAGAGATTGGAGAGCTCTACTTGATAGGTCCGACTTTTTTCGTTCCCTCCTTTTTTGTTTCTGTCTGACTTACCCTTTCTCTGTTCTAGATAATTGACTGTTGTAGTGCCCATGATACCTTTTTTAACTCGTAAACTCGTTTAAAAAAACTTTTTGGGGACAAAAGGAGGAATCATGTTTGTTTATTTTTTTTATAATGCAATAGAGGACGAACTAGGGTTATGAAAAGGAAATATATGGGTGGTTGACGGGTGCTCTGGTGTGGTGCGCTCCTTCTTAACTAACAAACTTGTTTGGCACTTACTTAATGTCCTCTATTTGTGTTGTAAGTGCTGTTTTACTTTCAATAAAACTAAAGAGTGGGTGGTTGGCGGGTGCTCTGGTGTGGTTTGCTTCTTCTTTCCTATGAAACATCTATCGTCCTTATCTCCCCTTCTTCTCTTTTGTTTGTTACTCTCTTGTAACATCTCTAATCTTTTGGCGCTCATATGACCTTATATACAGTTGCGAGCGCCAAAAAACCTCTACTTAAAAAAATAATCCCCCAAAAAATAACTCTCCAAAGTAAATTTGGCCTAGTTTTCTTTCCTTCGTGTCTTTCTTTTGAGTGGGTTGATGAAGGGCGCTACTGATTGTCGGTTTTACTTAAAAAAAAATTTCCCTTTGTTTTCTCCTTTTGTCTTCTACCGTCATTTTCTCCTTCACTAAATAAGCCATGTGTCCATTGCGTTATATGCTTCTACACAGACTAAACTTCTTTTGGTCATGTGAAAAATCTTTTGGGAATATTTTGTATCAAGGCAGTTTCTGAAGAGATTTTATTAATTTTAACAAAAGTTACTTTTTGTTCAAGCAGGTTTTGATAAACAAAATAGCTACCGGTAGGGAGAAGGGGTTGAGGTGTTTGGGACAAAGAAATGGTGTGATGGGATTCATAATGTAGAATGACTCCTCACATTTTTGCAAATTCTCATGATTAGGAAAATCAATTGCTTGTTTATGAGGGGTTATGAAAGAGAAAGTAGGCTCATGTTGTGTTTCTATAAAAGGGACATTATGGTCGTATTGTGTTCTTGGTGCTGTGAAAGAGACCACAGGGCCTACATTTAACAATGTAAAGTATTGTAATTTATATCATTTCTCTTTCTGTCATTTTCAGCCAAAAAGTTGCAATGACGCAGATGCAGTTATAGGGAGATTAAGTCTGGCAAGTCCAAAACTAAAAAAACTGGGTTCATTTGTGGAGGTGGCCTTTTCTTGAAGTTGAAGTGGATATTTGTTCAAACTTTATTTGGGGAGGGGGGCACTCTTGTCCTGATATCTTGAAAGAACCTTGTAGGCTACTTGTATCATAGTTATGTAGAGTTTGCTTTTTTAGTTTTGTTTCTACTGGAAGGATACTGGTGGTCAAATGGAATGGTTTAGTCCAAAAAATGATGCTTCCAGTTTTTGTATAGAATAGCTGAAAAGAATGGTTGTGGTATTTTTTAAATGCACAGACTGAAAAAAAACAACCAGTTACTGCAGACTGTAGGCCAACACGCAAAGTGAGCACGCTGGGTCATGAAAACGCGAGTTCTATTTTTAGCTTGCACAAGTGTTACTATCTGAGTGAGGGTCCCGCTGTCTAATGTTGGGGAGGCTGCTGAGCGTGTTGTAAGGTTGCGTGGGTTGCATGCTGAGTGTATAGCAGGGTTGCGTGCTGAGCGTGAAGCCAAACTCCAACATAATTCACGTAATCAAAGTAATCTTTCCAGTTTACTCACCTTTCCTTCTTGAACAGCTCTCCGTTCTCTCTTTAATGGTCGCCATCTTGGAAAAGTTTGGAATGCTCTCAGTTACGAGTTACGATAACTGTTCCAAAATTGGTACACGACGTATGCACTGCGTCATAAATAGCCTACCGACGCACAGTAAAGGTTAAATTTTGATGTGGAGTAGGACAGTTTATTTTAAATTTGAAGAAAACGATTTGTTCTTCATGAAGCTCATGGGTGCAAATGAAAGTAAGCCTAATTTTTAACTAAAAAAATTTTCAAGTTTAAATTAAGAAAGTTATCATGTACCCGGTAGTTTTTGTTTTTGTTAAAGAACGGTATAGTCTATTTGTCATTGTCAGTTTGAAGAGCCTAAGTGACTACTCAGCTGTTGTTTCTTGAGTGTTTAGCTCTTTTGAAAGAACTCAGTCTGGCTAAGAAACCACTTTTTACTTTTACAGTAATGAAATTTTTTCTCCGTAATTTACATACCCAAGAACCTGTCTAAAAATAAAAGTTTGTCTTGGAATCTGTTTTGAATTGAGAATAATAGACTTTTCTTATCTCTGCTGTACCATACTTTGGAGGGGTTGGGGAGAAGGGGGAGCGGTTTTCAAAAAGTGTAGTGGAATGATAAACTC